TAATAATAATAATACCTTTAAGGAAACTGCTTATGTGCAGATTTGCCCATACGAGGCTGTCAAAAACATTGCGTTTGGGCCTTTAACACCCCCTAGGCGTTTGTTAGGTACCGTTTTGATGCCATTATCGAAGAATTTGCATCGATAGACCAACTTTCAGTCACTACCTTCGGTCTGCTGGGTCATCTGAAGCTTCTTCCGTGCTGCCGTCGTCCTCCTCTTCGCTTGATGTGTTGGCTTTGGAGTTGTTGTCTTTGGAATCATCGTCATCTCCTGTTTCTTCGTTGCCATTATTGGAATCATCATCTGCACTCCTTTTCCTCTCGAGTTTGACTGAGTCTTCACTACTTGAACTGTCGCTACTGTCGCTGTCACTGTCTGCGTCTCTTTGGTTTCTGAAACACGGCCCGCAAAATAAAATACAGCTGTACGCCATGTAAGCGCTTGGGAGGAGAGGTGGTATAGCTCCTACTCATTCTTAATCTCGGCACTAGATGGTGGTGAGTGGTTAGCGTCACGTCTCGGCCGCGTATTACTCCCGGGAAAGGACCTCGGTACCCACTGGCCCCCAGAGGCTAGAGGAAAAAATCCTCTGATCCTGTTGGGATCTAACCCCGGTCATCCAGTCCGTAGTGAGTCACTATATCTAAATTCATTTGCGTAACTGGTGGAGGCTACTTTATTTCTGATAGAGACTGATGGTTTGTTAACCCTGAGAAACGCCAGAACGTGTGTGCAAGGATTCACAGTTAATTCAACCTCCAAAATACTGATTCATCATGTTTACTACATAGTTAGTACTGGATTATGGTCTGCGTAAAGGTTCTACGTATGTAGCGCTGATAATCATTGAGGAGCTTATGGTTGCTAAGCCGGTTAGTAGATCATCCCTTCTTTTAAGGAATCAGAGAACTCATCACTGTGTTCAAGAACCCCCCCCCCCCCCCCCCCCATCCAAACAACTTCCCCGTTCTGTTCCTTATGTTAGACTTCTTCCTTGAAATGTCTCCCACCCATCATCCGAAAGGTAGTTTAGGTGTTTTAAGATCTTAAAATATTTTCATTTCTCCCGTGCATGCTAATTGGCACACGCCCATTTTGATACTTTGTAAAGCATATAAAGAAAATTAAAAATTTCTTTGGTTACCATTTTAACGTAGTAATGACCCAAAATTCCCTGTTAAACTGAATAGTAGAACAGCCACGTCTTGTAGTAGGAGCGCTCATGAAGCAAAGTATAGATAACTTAGACAGAAATTATTCTGTGTTAACTTTTCCTACAGCGTTGATAGCTGCTTTTAAACAACGTACAGATTACTCTGGCTATGTGCCCTGTAATTTTTTCTACTTCGTTGTGAAACAGAACGAGAATATTTCGAGAAATCGTTACAATAGAGTTTAAGTTTTCTGTCGCCCGCATTTTCCAGTCCAAATTGCTGAGCTCATTTGAAACTGCTGTTAATTTATAAGCTGCCAGTCACTCACCTCAAAATGGCGTTGTAGGAACGTCTTCTGCGAACGCTTGGGACTTCCGTCGTCGCTGAAGTACTTGAGACGTCATCTTCCGCGTCGTCGCTTTCAGTGGTAGAAATTTCGACCGATCTGTTGAAGAATTAACAAGTTAGTCAATGACTTTCGTATTGGTAAATTATTATTATCCCATCTATTCCCCACTTATAGAGTATTTACTACTATGTACCCGAGACAAACCTTGCCCCTGAGGTACACAGTGCAGCAGCTATTTCCGAAATACATTTTGTTTTTAATATATGTTGCATGTATTATATAGTTTTGTGAGGGATGACTACATATTTTACAACAGCGTCTTTCGAATGATGTACGAAGATCCTAAAATGGCAGTTTTCTGAAGTTCCCTGATGTCGTGTTCGCCCGGAATGTTGGCCAGTTATTTTCTAAGTGACTTGGAGACAGTTCCATTTCTCCTATATTATTATTATAGTAGATGTTTCTTCTAATGCATTAATACCAACATTCTTTGAATTAATTGTTTAACGACACCCTAAGAACATGTCATTTGCTTTAGCGTTTGAGGAGCGATGTAAAGATATCGGATGCCACGCTGGTTCGAATCTCGCTTATGAGATGAATGCATGTCAGCATGATTCTTTGTTTGAAAATGTTTTCACTGTTTATATCCAAGCCTTTAGAGTTCGAGGACTTAATCTGTTATAAATAATCAAATCGCGTTTGGCCCTTGAGTGTACGTGGTGACTGCAGTGCGTTCTACAGTGTAGGAGAAACTGTGTAACTATTCTGCTTTGTTACAGTTTGTAACAGTCAGTGACGTTTTCAGTTCATTAAACCAACTGCTTATCGTAGACGACTGGGTCTGACTTCATGTGCGTGGATTCCGAGACAATGGTAGACACAGAACTGTTGACAATGGCAGACTTAGTCCGAGGAGAAGAAGACGCAAGTTGCTTAGAATGTTTACTGTGTCTTGTGTTAGAAGGATGTTGAGGACTGTGGAATAATTCCGGGTGATGTTATTTACAAGTGAATGTAGAAATTTTTGGTTTTAAATGGGGGGGCAGACTTAAAACCAATACTTTTTTAATCTGCTAGCGAACTGTAAAGCATATTTCTGTAATTTTAGTGTGCTAAAAGCTGTAATCTTCTTGTAGTTTAGGCCTAACCATTCCGTGGAATCGTATTAGGCGAAGTCAAAATTTGTTTACTAGAATGATAAACCATAAAAATGTAATAAGAAATATCCCTAGAATATAGGAGCCTATCTAAATGTGTGCAAATATCAATGTAATATTTTGTATTTTATGTTTGTTAACATTGACATGTGTCTGTAGAAGTCTCACTGTGCGCGATTTGTTTGTAAAACATTAATGCACGAACATGCAGACCGTAACAGCAGCTTACGTCTTTAGATAGAGAACACATTATATTCTGTTATCATGCGCGTAATTATCTAAATACATGGAGCAGAATCTTACTGAGATGTTTTGTAGTCGTTTATTTGGTCAGTTACCCTCGTTTTTTAGAACCCAAAGTTGAGGCGTCTGCTGATCTATCCTGCGGTATATTAATCCAGTCTACGCCCTCACTCCGTCTGTATTTAAACTTAATTTTAATATTATCTTTCGATCTACCCGTAGGTTTCTCAAGCGGTCTCTTCCTTCGACATTTCTTACTACAAATTTTTATCTTGCATGTGTGTTCATTTGTTCTTTCTTGATTTGGTCACTCCCTATAATAAATGTCTGATAAGAGGTACAAATTAGAATTCTAATTTATTTATTTTTTAAAAAAAGATTTTATAGCCGCCTCTTAGTTACAGCCTATCTCTTACAGGTGAACCTGGTCGTTTGTTACCCTCCGATTCGACCCCAATTTTGCAATATGGCGGTGGGTGTTCATGTGACTTCGTGGTCAAAATATTAAGTGTCGTATGCAGGTCGGCACATTTATCGTTTTACAGCGACTTTTTTTATATATTTTTTTCTCGAAGTGACAGACAGCAATAACATGTAGTTGGTCACAGCTGATAGCCGAAGGATATACGGGAAATATCATATTTTGGCAAGAAATGGCTGTCTTCTGGGTTGCTGCAGCCATCATCAGGACGATAAGCTACTCCTGCAGAAGACAGCCCTCTTCGGACTCACCGCAGTGAAAACCTCAAATCCTACTAAATTTCCACGCGCCTAAGAAATTACGGAATCCAACATTTTATATTTTTGACGTACATGCACCTAAGAAATTAAGGAATCCAATATTTTATATTTTTGACGTCATTAAAATAACACTGTTATTAACTGTAGGAATAGTTTGTACGAGGCATAGATTGTAGCAAATGACTTAAGTGTGAAGTAGTAGCAGACGAAAATACAAATTGTAATTTTAATTTTAGATTGTCTAGTGTTTGAATTCGATATAATGTAGTATGATTGTTCCTGATTACTGACTGTTACATTGAAAAGAAGATAATCGAATATTACGGAAAATATTTCAGTTAGACGGGCCTGAAGCGGAGCTACATTCATTATATTGGATTTGATAACTTGCACTTAAATTAAAATGATTTTGGTTCTTTGCTTACGTAGCTCTTTTCACCTTTGTCCCATCGCTGGGCTGGTCTTTGTAATCCGGCGCATTGCTGCTGTCTAGTGGCTTGACTGTTAATGGTAATACGCTGAAACACAAAGACGAATAAAAATAGATTAATGTTCAGTCGATATGTTGAGTTTTATTTATTCTCATGATTTCGGGAACCGTTGATTTATGTTCCTGAATGAAACTTCTTGTCTTGTCCTGTAGGACTGAGGTTTCTACGTGCCAGACTTTAAATAGGAGTGGTTCGTTCAGTAATATTCAACGTCTGTTCCTTTGTGAGTCGTAACTTTTATTTCGTTATTCGGGCAACCTTACGAGAGAAAGAATTTGAAGTTTCAGCAGCCGTATTTAGCCCGTGCGAGCGAAGCGGTCATATACATTTCGTCCTCTGATAAAATTAAGCGCGGCTGCTAGAGGCCGAGCGAGAAGTGCTGACACTTGCGCAAAGGACTGATTTTGGTCGCGTGAGATGGACCCGTCCAAACTGCATGACTCACCCGCCAAGCGCTAACAACAATTATCTCTAATATTATTTACACAACAGTGCAACTGCGTAACATTGTGTTAAGTACTGATTATCGTCGTGTGTGTGGATATGTTTCAGTATAAACTTGAACAGCGTATTTTTCTGTACTCCGGATAATTAATTGTTCCTAGCACAACTGGCATTCATAAACTTGAATGTTAAATCAATTATTGGGCCCATATCCTACACGGAAATAATTCTGGTAGGTATGTGAGAAAATAGTTCACTCACTTTACAGAGGAAGAACGATCTTTAGCAACTATCTACACCGCAGATGATTTTCTACCGGCTTTGGCAGGGGTACTGGTCACAGAATAATAAAAGTGGTTTTGGCCAGCACGTTCGCCTGATTTTCCCCTATGCGGCTTTTATTTTTGGGCTAATTCGAACGAAACGAGGCTTAGGAAAACATAACGAAGAGAAATGTTATAAGTTCATCAGGAAGAATGTCTTCGGGTGAATTTCGACATATTTAAACGTTGTAGAAAGTATGTGAATGTTCAGGGAAACGGTTTCAGCACATCTTACAAGTAAATTTGTTTTTATGGAGCGATACTTGAATCGTGTCGGGAAAAACTTGTGGTGCATGGCAGCGACAAGTGCAATTCCTGCCGGGAGGCGGGAGATGACAGTTGCGTTTGTAGGCGCACTGGGATCAGACAACGAATTAGTGTTTTGTTGTCGAATAATGGGAAAAGTAGTTATATTATTCGAAAGTAAGCTATGATTTTAAATGTATTTGAATGAACACGTATTTTACGTCAAGACCTGGCCATGTAAGTAAATTACGTATTACGTTTCAGTTAAACATAGTTGTATTATGCACTGGTAGACGTTCGTTTCGATGCCTAAACGTTAATTGATGGCATGTGGAGGTCGGACATCGCGAGCTCTTTTACGAGGGAATTAAACGCACGCACAGAATCTGAGGCTTAGCTGCTCAGGTGATTTGGATTCTTGGTACGTTTTAGTGGGTTTCCAGAAATACAGTAGATGTCAGTAGTTCTGGTTTGTCGAATAGTGAAGAGTTGTGTTTTCTTCGCGGTACGGACTGACTCCTCGCGTGTTATTTAGACGAGCTTTGGCTTTATAGGATTATGTAAACGCGCTGTTTATCTCCTTCCTATCGCGTTCTGGCTGACTTTGCACCTGAACGTGCTGTTAAAGACGAGAGCTGATCGTCTTCTCTTTCATCCGCTGTTCTTTAGTTGCTTCTACTGTCTCGGGGCCTTCGTTATTTGTCGACCTGCGCATGTTTAAACATTTCACAAGGGCGTGCAATGTGCAATCCGCTTTCCTTGAGTGTCACGTGACGGTAAGGACGACGTCTGGTAGGCCTGTGGAGAGTATCTGTTGAATGCGTTTCTGGTATTGTTTTCACATACTTTTAGCCCTTTAGTTATAATTCCTGTGGCATCAGTTGTCATAGGAATGACAAACTATTTCATACTCCGCAGCTGTTAAATATCTATCCTTTGGTTTTCGTATTTTAATTTTGTTTCAGACTCATTTTTGTGTTATATTCTAAACAGATGGTATTGCTGCATCTGTCAGTAAGCAAATTACATCTTACTTCTTGTTCTTTTATTTTACATCTGGAATATATGCCAGGAGCGATATATCGGTTCATGTGAGTACCAGTTATCTGTTGTTCAGTGTGTAGTTTGCATTTTGAGTAGTGTAGATGTGTATAATCTTTAATCATGTCTTATTATATACTCATTCTTTGCCAGAATGGGACGTTCTGATGTTTGTGGTGAATAGTTTCTTCGTATCGTTTACACAGTCGACATTTTCTTTAAATTTTATCTTTCAGAATATTTCCCTTGAAGGTGTTTGTACTGATTGGCTGAACCTGAGCCGCCACAAATGTACTTCTTGTTTCCCCGAATGTCTCCAAACTTCAGTCATCGGTAGGACTGTTCCTTATTCACCAATTTTTCGTCAAAGGTGCGTGGAAATTGTGCGTGCATCCTTTCTCTTCCACTGAGGTTAATCTGTTCCAACACTAACATACCGTCTCCATGTTCAGGCCTGAGGAGGCATTGTGTTCTTCCCAAACATTGGTATGTACCTAGAAGTCCACACGGTTTTTGGTGTAAAAAGAGACGCCATTTCGTCGCCAAGAAATGTATGTACGTGTTTCACCATCCAGTGCATTCGTTCTGTCGATATTGTAGACTGCTCTTGTAATTTTAAGACCTACCTGTCTGTCGCTGTTGTGTGTTCGGATGTGCTGTCATCTATCGGTGCGCTCTGCACTCGCAGGACGACTGAGCAGACGGCAGCCAAGCAGATTATGCGACCCTGGCGAGACAAATTGAAATGATCAATGATTCACTGTGAAGAATATCGAGTAATGGCATTTTATCCACACCGCCTGTGGTTTTGTACCACCGAAACCTCGATTATTGTTTTAAAGTAAGGGTTCCCAAACGTTCGATGCCCCGAGGCCTACCTTACCCCTTTTTATAGACTCGCGAACAGCGGGACTATAAATTGAGAATAGTTTATTGAAGTTTCATGGCAGTTTATTAAAAATTGTAACTTGTGTTTCAGAAATTACAGAATGATTACGAAATCAGGCACTGCTTACTTAATCCGTCAATATCAGGTTGAATTTCTGTTGCTTCCGTCCAACTCTTCATCTTGAGACGTGTCCTGCCTAATCAATCTGAAAGGTTTCTCGGAGCGATAAGTACTTGTAGACACTAACGACGTTTCACGTCACCCGCCTTAGAAGAAACTTTGACGTCTTGGAAGATTCCAGAATTACGCAGTAATAACCCAATTCTACAATAAGACTTTGGATACAATTTATATTGTATGCTGTATCATTTGGAATAAGTAAATCAAATGGTGAACCGTCTCTTTGAGATCGGAGTGTACCTATCACAACTTTTTCTGTTTAATGAATCGTGCACGCTGCTCGTGATTTATGTAATGTTACGTCATTAATAATAACAATCATGATTTATCCACTCCGTTGACTGCACATCCCTTGAGACTATCTGGCGAATCGATTGCTCGATAGTTAACCCGAACTCCTATCGTCCCTATTTATTTACATCGATTGGTAATGGCGTCCAATCTCTCATATCGATATTCAGATATAACCGCCATTTCATTTCGATGGGTGTATTTTACCATAGTATTAAAGCAGTGGAAAATTGTGTAAACTGTTAACCGGAGAGTTGAATTGTTAATTATACTGTAATTTATCGCTCCAAAAATTCCTTTTGAAGTAATTTTGATTTTAAACGTGTCTAGTATCTTACTACATCTTAAGATTATAATCTTCAATCACTGAAACCATGTCTTTGCAGATTACAAAGAAAAATATATTTTGTTTAAACTCCACAACTTTTCTTGAAAAATTCTCATTTCTTTTTAACTTGACTCGACTTAAGGAAATAAATATACAAATATATAAACATTGATAAAATAGACCACTCACATAAAAATCCCAACAGAAGTCATGCAGTGATGCCTTTCTATAAATCTGTTTTGTCTTGTCAAGTCCGTTTTGTTTGTGGAAGTTACAGTACAAGGCAATTTTGATGTTAATGTGGGCCATAGTAGAATAAAGGACTGGCCACAGCACCCACCGTGTAATTTAAATGTAATTTTCGCATTTCTTTTCTGCGCCCTTAAACCATTTACCTGTGTCCTGAACTCAGATTTGATTTTGTCACAGTTTTAGCAGACGTGTTCTTTTTCACTGTAAAGTTCGCGTATTTGTAATACATTTGTCAGACGGTAGGGTAATTTTACAGAAATAAATTAAAATATTGTTATATAAAATAATGTGTGGCTTATCTGAATTTAGATTGTATTAAATGAATTCAGTGGGCTTTAAATTTATTTGTGGAACAGAGGACTAAACAGTTTTCAGTGTAGGGCCTTAATAATAACGCTAAATCCATATTTTATCTACGCATTCATTACGTATTTATGTCACTTTTATGCTGAATCTGCTCTAAGCTGCGTGACTACGCAAATATAACAGGCATTGCTCCAAGTACACCGTTAATTAACATAAACTTGTAGCAATTAGTGAGCTGGTCCTAGCATAACAAGCAGGCAAAATAAGGTATGTTAGGCTGTAGAGTCTTCTGGACACTTCTGACTTTGGTTTAACGTCTCCCCTCAACAGTTCGTAGCTTCTCGTTCAGGTTGTACTTGCAGAATGCAATACACGTATCAGTTTTTCAGTAAACATCAACTATATGAAATCAAATATGTTCTGTTCTGATCGAAGAAGTTTTACGCTTACACACGCTCTAAGATTTTATAATTTTAAAGGACTCTTTTCCAGATCTTTGGTTTGAAACAATTTTAAGCCAAGCTCTTGCCAAGTTTGAACGCCATTAATTTATTGATTATTGAAGATGGCTGTCTTCTGGGTTGTTGCGCCGTGTAGTATGGTAAAAGTTTACCGACGCTTCGGAGGTCCCTGCTACCTCCATCATCAGGGTATCTATAAAATGTTGGTGGACAAATACCAGACTACACAGCGCAACAACACAGAAGACTTACTCATCGCCTTGTTGATGGAGACAGCAGGGACCTCTGAAACGTCGGTCAAATTTTATCATACTTCACGGCGCAACAACCCAGAAGACAGCCATCTTCAGACTCACCGCCGAGAAAACCTCAAATCGTACATTATTGATGATTCTTGGATTATTTAACAACGTATTTTTATCTTGACATACAGCGTATAATTGTAGGATGACTAAATAATGAATTGAAAGGAAGTGGCCACAGCCCACTTGAAGGTATTACACTATAATTTTATTCCGGTTGGTTGAGGAATACCGCGAAGAGATTAAATCTAAATATCAGGTATCCTATATTCGAAATAGAGGTCTCTGATTTGGGGAAGTAAAGAATTTTGTATTATATCGCAATGCATCTCACAAGCCCTTATAAAATGGTACAACTTCATCTGGCTTTAGAAACTATACTTATATTATATCGATTGGTTATGTTGTTCAACTTACCGTTGTATGCAGTTTCATTTTAAAATTCTTCCGGAAAAGGCACTTCACAAGCGATCTGTTATAGGTGGACAAACTGAGCTCGACTAAAATGGCATCTTAAACTTCCTCGATATTTATACGCTCGTGTTCTGAGTATCGGAGCGTCTTTGGCATGAGAAATTGTGCTAATTACGTTCGGAATAAAGTGTGAACATATTTACAAGGCCGACCGGTCACAGTTTGTATTAGTGACGCTACTGTTCGCCTAATTGAATTTGTAACTTGTGTTAAGAGACATCACCTCCACGCGGACTGTTGCTTTCGCAATTATATTGACCGTCACGTCAATATTAGTATTTAAACGGAACTCCTGAATTAGTCCCCTTTTGCACTAACACATTCAAATAGCTGTATTTTAATTTCGCGGGCTTGGAGAACAAAATGAAAGTTATCCTACGAAGCTGAGATGGGAATTTTTCCTTCGACAATAAACAAATTAGCCTTTCATATAAATGAAGGACATCTTAAACTAGTGGAAACATATACGTGCATTATTAGAAGAAATTTAGGCAACCGTGTATTTACAAAAAAATATAGCAATGGGTCTACGTAATTTCACAGCAATAGAATGTTTCAAATATAGTGGCGAAGCCTCGAAATTTAAGAGAAAGGACGCTGATATATTGTAAAAAGCACAAAGTGGTCTGCAGGGTACATAAACGGCCACCTGCTGATGTAACTTACGAGGTGCGATCGAAAGGTTTCCAGACTGCGCGTATAAAAACCCGTACACTTATCTCAGGTATTAAATTCATCCATCACCCTCGAAGAAGTTCCCCTCGGAGTGAACACAGCGATCCCAGCGCCGCTGCCAAGCCTGGAAGCATCCCTGGAAAACTTTCTTTGTCAGCCTGTCAAGCACCATCTGCGATTCTGCCTGAATCTCTTCTATCGTCTCAAATCTCCTTCCCTTTAGCTGAATTTTCATCTTTGGGAAGAGGAAGAAGTCACACGGAGCATAGAAAGGAAGTTGGGGTCGGTTCTTGCAAGATCTTGGAGCTCCTGACAAACGAGAAGTCGATTCTGCTTCTAGTCCTCTGACAGGATGCGTCGCATGTGGAGTTCTTCCTTTAGAATCAGCTAACAGGTCCCATAGCCTATCCCAACAATGTCGCACAAATCGTTGATGGTACGACGTCGATCTTCGTAACAGTTTCGGGCGTTGTGCTCGAAGATGGTCGGCCAGAACGCTCGTCATCATCGACAGAGGTTCGGCCATTTTTAAAACGTGAATGCCACACAAAAGTTTGTGCACGACCCATTGCGGACTCCCCAAATGCTTGCTTTAGCATTTCATAGGTTTCCGTAGCCGTTTTGGCGAGTCTTTGGCAAAATTTGATGCACACGCCATTCCGAAAGCGCAGGAGGGTCGGTGTAATGCACTACCAAAACGCCCATAACTACGTACTACATCCGGTTCGCCCTCTATTGACACAGTCTTGAAACTTTCCGATCGCACCTCGTAATTGCTTGTTTGGGTTATGCTTTCCAGAGAAAGTTTTGTAGGAAGTGGAAATTATTTACTTGCATGTGTTTGGTTGCGTAACATAAGGAACTGTAAATCCCCTTGCATTGATTTCACTCTAGCCAACAGTTACGGACCTGAAAATAGGATAAGGTTGTTAAAAGATGTCATATCTTTCAAAGAAGCTGATGTAAAATACAGTTTTATTTAAATAGTTTTAAAAACTGGCAGTATTTCATAGTGATCTAGTGGAGTATTATCATCAGGTTGATGATTTTGGGGACTGTACAGAGATCATTATAATGATACTACAGCCATGTAGGTAAACATTGTCATTTCTGTTTTATACATGGCACAGCAGAATGTTTTATTTTCTAAACGTCGAAATCTTTATAGAATTCAAGATAACTTGACGTCAGTTAGCATCTCAGGCTAGAGAGGATATTTAAGGATATAAAAGAACCTGAAAATTATTGCAATGTAAGTTTAAATATGTAATTCAGAAACTGTAATATAAAATTTATGATCTAAAGCTTCATGGTGAGTAGCAATAATATACAACCTTATGTGCAAGTTTTCCTCCGGGAGCTTCCCAGGTTTCTCCATTCACACACAAAAGAAGGCAATGGCAAACCACTTCTGGATCATCTGCCAAGAACGTATATGAACAGGTCCCAGTCCGAGAAAAGGATGGAACGGTGCCCGAATTTATAACTTGTGTTGGGCATGGCCGTGGTCTAGGCAACACGGAGTTTTCCTCCGTGGCATCCCAACAATTACTCCATACACACAGAAGAAGGCAATGGCAAACCACTTCTGGATCATCTGCCAAGAACGTATATGAACAGGTCCCAGTCCGAGAAAAGGATGGAAGGATCCTGTTCATATGGACCTGTCGTCAGACAGAACACTAAATAAAATATATGCAAAAAAATATATTTTAAAATACAATACAGTGTCCTTGTCTGAATATCAGAGAGGATATTGACTTCGCTGTCACTACGATACATTTATGTAGAAAGGAAGTTGAAGCCCTCGGTATAACTTACCCTCCTTGTATATCAGAAACTGCCACTTCAGCGTTATTTAAACTTTCACATTGTAATTCTTCTTCAGTTGGCGCTACAGTCCTTGGTGGACTCTGGCCTCCTTTTTCTCTCGTATTTACCATTCAATAATAGCAATTCATTTTGAACTCTTGCACGAACCTTCCATTCTCACAGCTCCAAATTACTGCCGACCTAATTTTTATTTATTTTGCACATAGTTGAGAGTTTATGAGATCGTGGCGGGCACCAACCGATTAACAAAGCCAAATTTTCTTTTCTCTGGACAAATAAGATATGGACACCAAATAATACGCAAAACAACACGACGTTTAATGATACAAGAAACCATGCAATCAAAAATACGTAGTTTTATAAGTTCAATTATTATTATTCAAGTGGGAAGTTAGTGTGATGCATTTCATCGGCCAGTTTTTCAAATTTGGGAGTGTAGGATGATGTTGCTGCTCGCAAAAAATAGTCAAGATGGCCATTAGTAAGTAGAGATCTGTGCTTTGATTTTATAATGTTCGTGGTTGAACGGCCTTCATTATTCAGTGTAATGAATTCTTCTCGGGCTACCAACCATGTAAGGTGAACTTAATACTACAGTACCCTGAGGACGAGGACGAAGATGGTTCATTAAGTTACCTTATGCGGCTGGTAGCCCGAGAAGAATTTATTATATTTACTGGTGTTTGTTTCTGACGTGTGTGAAATGTGTGGGTGGTGAGTGACATTAAGGGAGTTCTTGTTGAAATCCTTTACTTCCGTAACATAAGCTTTTTTCAGAAAGATTTCTTATTAAGGCAGTGCTGGATGTTATGATGGTTTTGAAATGTGTATCAGGAATAATTAAGTGGGAAATGATTTTTAAAATTCTGTCTGAAAAACCAAATGCTAATAATGGAAGTTATTCATAATTAGTTTTGTGCAGTCACAGTTTTTATGCGACTGTCTACAAAAATAGGATACGATAAATTCTAAGCAAACTAATATTACAACCGTACATTCTTCCCCTTCACAGATGCTATAAGTGAGAACAACCCTCGTGTGATTGATGACTCAAGGGCAAGAAAACTGGCCACGGACCTAAAGCGTTGCTCATACTATGAAACATGTGCCACTTATGGTCTCAATGTTGAGAGGGTCTTCCAAGATGGTGAGTATGTGATTTGAAAGTCCACCTATTCTTCATTACATGTCTTGTTTCATCACTGTGAGTGCATTTTTACACCTCAGCATACGGTATGGCTTGGTAACAGGTCATTTACTATGTTACGGTGTATCAGCATATAGATATCGTGTATAAGGTTATCAGATTGAATACAAAGGTTAAACTGTATTATATTGTGTAAGGTCTTAATGTCTCCTGTTTTGTTTCATTTGGTTATGATACGTGTTTAGTTCAGTCTTATTAATTTCATTAAAGACATGATGCGGGTTTCTTAAATTACTTATATTAGATGTCATTGGTTAATTTTTACTTTGAATATTTAATCAGTTGCATATTGACGCTAATTGAGATGCAGGTTATTCAGAATACAGTAAGACTGTGCAAATCAATGACAATGTTTAAGATATGATTACTTTTACACGAAGTCCAGTTTACTTCCTAAAATAGAATAGCAGTATCGTATTAGGCTAATACAGATAATCACTTAATGAATTTGAGAATCATAATATCTTTCTTAGTATCCTTCTGTATTTTGCAAACAGTGATTCTTTATGAAGTCTGAGTTGCTGTTCATAACACCAACATGTATCTTGTCGTGAACTAAATATTCTTTGAGGTTATGTTGGCCGATTTATCCGGTGGGAAAATTGGGAAGCTGCACGGGGCCCATACCACATGAATGTCAGTACCATGTGCTTAAACTTTTCCAAATTATTTCTGAATATCTCAAGAATAGATTTGTTGACTGTTTAATCTGTTATAACAAGTTTCCAGTAAACTATACCTGAAGTAGCTATAGTGTGGGGGCAAAATAATTCTGTGTTGTGCTGTTTGATGTCAGGAGCAATCAGTAAATGGAAGAAATAGTGACTGTATTGTCAAAATGTAACATGACAAACTACGTGGGCCAACAGTAAAGTGTTTCCTCCTTGAAGACTTACAGTTAATGACATCCTGGCATGAATTTTTTAGGTTATGTAATTTTAATATTTTTCTGTACTTTTCGTTTTGGGGTATTTTCTTTAAAAAAGTGTAGTGAGGGAGGGATACCCTAGATCAGTGGTATTCAACCTGGGGTATGCGAAGAAATCTTAGGGGGTATGTGAAATTTAAAAAATATATATATTATTTTATGATAAATGCTGAATAATCAGTAATGTAATTTATTTAATTTATTTTAGATGTAGATTATATACTATGTATAACTTGAATTATACACGAACAACTTTGGGGGTACAAAATTGAAGAGAAAATATATCTGGGGGTACGCGAACAAAAAAGATTGAATACGACTGCCCTAGATTGTGCTTTGCCCTTGACCAGGCATTGACTTAAAGCAGTCCTGGTTATAGCTGGACTGAAATATCAATGGCTGCAGCATGATTTTCATCTAATTTTGTCCTTGTAATACCTGTTTCAAAGAATTGAATAATAGATAATTATTTGATGTTTTGAGATAAAGGCATTTTGTTAGATACAATTAGAGTTTCCTGTTCAGTTTTTGCTATTCTGTAAATACAATGTGAATGGATATTTTATATTGGAAATTGTGATATTAGGGATTATACTCCAATCTTTTTCAGAACAGGCTTCACAGAACACTGAAAATTTATATTGATGTGGTTCACATCTCAAAAATAACACAAATTTTGGCACTGTGTTTGCTGTTGTGAATTTTAGTTCCAAGTGACTTGGAATATTTCCTGCCAAATTTCACAATCTGTTTTATACGAAACATAAATTCTGTTAGCATTGTGATTATTTGCTGTTAACAAGATGGTTCACAGTCCATTGAGTGCTCTTTGGTACCTGACCAAAGAATGAATTCTTGTGTTCTTCGGACTGTGAAGCTTAAAGCAGGATGATAATGTAATGATCAGTATGTGAGGGAATTATATAGAAACATTACATAAAATATATGTGAATTATACACGTTAAATAATTTAAATTTGCCTTCTTACCGTTCATTATTTATTGGCCCACATACTTTTATGCTGTATGAGATGCATCCATCTAAATGTGTGCATAGGTAATGGTGATATAAGGGGAGAAGCTCTGTACATTTTTTTTAACTGTATAATATATGTTTTATATTTTTTCATTCAGTATGTTGGATAGTTTTTCAGCATTCTATCTCAGAATGTTCTTGCCGTATTTTTATTAAGTGTATACGTGATTAATTGGGAAAACTGGAGAGCTCTTTTTGGGCAGAGCAATGGACCTGTCGTAAGACAGAACACTAAATAAAATAATACATGATTGCTTTCTTGAACATTATTAAATTAAGGATTCTAAAGCACAGTGAATATAAAACTTGAATACACCTACCATTTGAATTTGTTGAAAATCTGTTTCCATGCCAAAGAATTTAAGTAATTTTGTTCTGTATATTTTCTGTCTGAGATTAATGTTTAATGTGACTTTCTTGTGAACATACTTTTGTATTACGCTGTGGCTGATATAAATTTACCAGCTTCATGTATGTTATTGAAAAGTTTTGGTGAAAATTGATGTATTTTGTCATTTTTAGTTGAAATTCCAGATTCAGAAATTTATTTTTATATGGAATGTAAAATTTTTTCTCACATACTTTTAAGCACTCTGTAGCTACTATTGGACATTAGCATTATCTTAATTTTTATAGGTTAGATTGGTTAAAACATTTGAGTGTGATTTGAGATATCAATTTAATCTTGATACATTTGTTCAGACCTTGTAAAGTATTTTGGGTTGTTGTTTCCTTTTGGTAAATTTCTGTAGCTTTTTAAATTGGAAGATCGAGTGTCCAATCATAAAATTTTGGATACAGAACTAGAAGCTTTGTTGTTGTTGTTGTCGTGCGAATGTAAGTGAATGGTAAGATATTATTACATGTATGCGTTTTAACTGGTACAGAATACCATCAACTAGTTTTTAAAGCATAAAAAAGGAATTATATTCAATAAATATCCATTTCAATGTTGACACTGATAACAAACTTAGCCTTGAAGATACTGTATCATGCTTTAGGTTGCTAATGAATATAATACTAAATTGTTTAATTATAGGAAATAAAACAAAACTGCCAAAAATTAGAACCCTTTCCTGTAATAAAAGACAACTCAAGGTAGAATTAGATAAAATTTCTGTTGATACACACTTTTACTGAATTTGTAAACTCGTGATGAGTAGCAAATAGTTTTTCAGTCGCATGTGTGTTGATTTATTTTGAAAAGTAACTGAGAACAGGGACTTATAAAATTATAGAATTTGTGTGTGGGGTGTACATTTTTTCTTCTTCTTTCTCATTCTGTCTATCCATCTATGTGTTCAACCATCTTTCCATACATTTTCTGTCTTTCTACCCATCTGTCTGTCCATCTTTTGTGTCTGTGATGTCTTCTAGAACAACAATATTACAGAAGTTTTCTTTTTTTCCCCTCCCATATGTGTGACCCATTCACTATTTAACTGTTTGTCGCCCTTCCAGTGATGGTACGTTGCAATTTTTTTCTGTCTGCAGCATGTCAAAAAATTGTACAGCATAGGTTATCATCTTCAACGTCATGCCTGACCCCGACAAACTCGCGGCCATCAACACCCAATAATCATTTCTCCACAGTGGTAGGAGGTGCACAAAGGCACCATCAACCAGCACCATCTCCTACCAACAATGGGTTCCTTGCAGGTAGTACTACCACAACTACCAGCAGTTCTTCTCCCCATACATCGGGTGGCTCTCCTGCCAGCAACGTTATGGTGGGAAATGCGTCGCCCAGTCACACACAGACACTCACTCACAAGGTGGGTACGCAATATCATAAGAGAAATTAAACAGGCACATCGAAAAATCCATTCATTCATCTGTGGCACAACAGCCCGAAGTCGAGCCTCGGCCTCCACCAATGAGGGAGGTTTCTTTGTCTTTGAAGTGTACATTTTTATGAGTAGTGAGTGACAAGCACGATTTCTACTCAATCCTGATTTGTCTGATAAGAGCCAATTGAAACATCCACATACTTAAAATTTGTGAGGCACAAGTCTTTGGACTTTATTAAACAGATGTGTCTAAAAAATTACTGAGGTTTCATTAGTAATTTCTTTTAAAAAAGAGGTATTATGTGCATTCTGTGCTCTTGCACTGAAAATTCAAATTTATTTATAAGATTCTAGAAGCTACTTTTATATGGATTCATTAATGGTTTTTTTGTTGGAAATAGTTTGTAATTTTAATTGTTTAAAGCACGTAGTATGAGGTCTGTTTGTGTATTATACAAGTTAACGGCTGCGCGTCATAACAAAACAAAAACTTGTTATAGGCATGAAGTGGACACAGAAATTACCGAAATTACAAAATCCACATACGTAAATATTTTTAGGACAGTTCTTGATTATTATATTATGTGATACCGATCTTGAGAATAATTTTATACAAGTATCTGTAAGAAGTGTTGTTGAAGTGTTCTAAAGTGTGTTCCATTTTAAATTGCCAATATTGCCAGTTATTTTTATTGTCTATTTCTTTTGCAGGAATCGTGTAATTTGAGCAGTGGACGTCAGGTTCACACTCTGTCTTCATCTAACCATCACCTGCATCGACACCAGCAGGACACTAACAAACTCGAGTCCACGGACAAGTGGGGAAGCAATACTCATGTTTCAGGAACAGCTCCATCTTCAGGAGTTGCCCCTGACAACAATAATGTTGTGACTAAATTTGTTCCTCCTCAGAGCTTTGATAACTTACCCCCGCCTCAGCCTCCAGGCTCCAAGGATAAGGACCTTCCCACACCTAGCTCCACTCCTACAACCTCAAGGTAAGTCAAGTATAGGATTTGCATTTAAGTTTGGAATAGGTGCAATTAAACAAAAACATAAATATTTACATGATAATGCAGTCATTCTGCACTGTAATTTAAGCCCTGTCATAGAAAACGTTGTGTGAAGTAGTTATTATGTAGTGGGGATGTGGCTATCAATAATAATCTTTTCCCATATTTTCCCAAATTAACTTTGGTTGAACATTGTCTTTTAAATATATTATCACAGTGTAACTTGTAGCAGTTGGAATCCTGTTCCAATAAATTATCCTGGTTTTTTTCATTCCTGGCAATATTTGGAAGTTTTTAACACTGTGTAATATTTGAGGTTTTCACAGCGGTGAGCATGAAGATTTCTGTCTTCTGGGTTGTTGCGCTGTGTAGACTGATCGATGTTAACCAACGTTTCAGAGGTCATACTGCGTTCGTCATCAGGGCACCTATAAACCTAGCCCCACACACCCCATTGGCACATTCATCGCCCTGATAACGGAGGTAGTATGACCTCTGAAACGTTGGTTAACATCAACCAGTCTACACAGCGCAACAATCCAGAAGACAGAAATCTTTTTAACACTAGATGGAACCATTGTTCGTTAATTCACTGATAGATCTACGTCTGGCTGCACAACATACTATCTTGAGGACACAGCAAATCAGATACCCAGGCAATACAAAACATTCTCATCTTTGTGTCAGGCTGTTTCTTTTAGTCTCAGGGTTTTCCCTTCTTTTATGAAAGGAATTTTTGTATAAAGTGAAGTTTCACTGCGACTGAAGTTGCTGAAAGACTCTCGGGTTACAAGCCGCGTCAGGTGGCTAAATGGCGATTAAACCGTATCTTCTGCCAACATTTCGAGAACAGTCTCTGCTGTTATCCAGCAGCCCTGAGGATGAAAGCAGAGATTGTTCTCAAAATGTTGGCAGAAGATATGGTTTATTGACCATACAGCCACCTGACGCGGCTTGTAACCCGAGAGTCTTTCATCAAAGGAATTTTTACTTTTAACAGTCCTGCACTGTGTTATGTGATGCATCTTTATTTATTTATTTGTCACCAATCATATTATTGGATGTTTTGTTTGCTGTGAACTTCTTGATTTGAGCTACTACTTTGACCACTTTGACTACTACTACCCTATTTGTTTCTAACATATTCCTCATCTTCAAGTATCTGCTCTTATTGTAACTACTGTCAATATTAGTCGGATGACACTTTTATAATTCCCAGTTTTGGTTGTCAATATAAGTAATTATTCTTCATATAGTGAGTGTTATTCAGGCATTCAGATATGAAGTGTTTTGAATATTAAGGGCAGACTTGCAAAGAAGCAAGTTTTGAGGAAAGCCCTTCTGAGTTTTGAAAATATAAATTGTCTACCCACAAAGTGTATTATTATTAATACAAGGATATTAAAAGCAAACTCCATTCTTGTGTGCTTTGTGTATTTGCTTCCACATAATATAAAGTGGACAACTTTTATTTATTGAAATTCACATATTTAATTTTTGTTAATTGACAAAAATGATATACCATTTTTGTAGTTTACTTTTGTATCTGCAGTTGAATTATTAAATGGCATTTGTGGATCTAAACTTCCATACTTGCTGCCACCTGGACTTTAACACCAGGGTTAATGGTTTAACAGGATACTTAAGCAAACTGGACTGCAGCCATGATGAACGCCTGATAAACGGTTAATCTTACATAATATACGTAGAATGTTTTATTGATCTTTTATATACATTATCAGTCCTTGTCTACCTGCTAAATATTTTATCTTAAAACTTTGCATATGGTGTAGTGTATTAAAATATAGAGTAAGCAAACAAACAACTATTAACACTATAATAAGACACTATTGCCATACGCGTTTCAACCTCAAGAGGTCATCATCAGTGGCATTAGGGAAATTAATACATTTAGTCAAATGGTTCAAACTGGATTCAGAATTAAAATAAAAAGGGTATTTGACAAAATATTCAAAGTGATTGTGAAATACCCTTTTAATTTTAATTCTGAATCCAGTTTGAACCATTTGACTAAATGTCTTAATTTCCCTGATGCCACTGCCTCTTGAGGTCGAAACACGTATGGCAATAGTGTCTATTATAGTGTTAATAGTTGTTTGTTTGCTTACTCTATATTCTAAATATTTTATGCCTTGAGGAGGCAATATTTAGTAAAGTGCTTCTAGAAGATACGTTACAGACATGGCTGAAGTATCTTTGAACGTCAGCTGTAATTTGTTTGTTTATGTGATTATTTGCTGTTGAGGTTTTGTAATGTTGAATGAGAGTACATTTTTTGTACATGTTTTGCTGTCACTGTTTAGTGTATTTTAGCATAGTCATACCGTAACTGGCGCTATTACATACTGGTACTGTCTTATTGCTGATTATTGCACCTGAAAAAATTTCCAGCCAATAATATAGTAACCCAGTCATAGCGATGTAATTTCAAATATTTGGTATAATTTCTGTAAGTATAACAAGTGGCTTATATTTTGGCATTAAAAGAGTTGAAGGGGCATAAATGTCATAAATATGAACTACATTTTATTTAATCTGAGATTTTTGTTCTGTATAAGGAATAGAAATTCGTAGCACATTGATTGAAAATGTGACTGATTTTGATGTAGACATATAATAATTATGTTTTTGAGAGATTTGAAGGTATTATGGTGATGAGTTTAAAGATGGAAGCTTTCTGGGATGTTGTATTGTTTAATCTGGCAGATACTGATGTTGTTTCATAGGAGTTTACAACTTCCATTATCAGGATGAAAAGTAGTCACCATCACCGTCCTGATGATGGAGACAGTAAGCTTCTCTAAAATGTCAATCATTAATCTACCAAACATGCTACAATTTCCCAAAAGACACACATCGTCAACTATGTTTTTTCTTAATTGAAGTAGAACAGTTTGTACTCTCTTTTACAGTGGTCTTTTGGTGGTTAATGCTAATAACTGGTTCCGTCATATTAAACTTCATCTGCTAGTGGATAAATGTATATTGGCTTCCATAACTTGGTATGATTTGTGTTCAGGAAAAGTCGTAGAAGATCGAACCTTTTCACGCCATCCAAAAAAGGAGATGACAAACTGAAGAATGGGGAACTGGGCAGTGGACGGGCAATACCTATAAAGCAAGGCTACCTCTACAAGAGGAGCAGCAAAGCTCTTAACAAGGACTGGAAGAAGAAATATGTGACACTCTGTGATGATGGTCGCCTCACGTACCATCCAAGTTTGCATGTGAGTTTCTTTTTGACAGTGTACAGTGTACTTACTGAGGGAATTTCTTGCATTCAGTAGTTAATGTTTTTAGTTACTACTTATTGTGTTCAAAATGTAAATCTACAAAACACAAAATATGTCTTTGTGATGTAAGGGAGTATTTTGAATACGAGGTGCGATCAGAAAGTTTCCAGACTGCGCCTATAAAAACCCGTACACTTATCTCAGGTATTAAATTCATCCATCACCCTCGAAGTAGTTCCCCTGGGAGTGAACACAACGATCCCAGCGCCGCTGCCAAGCCTGGAAGCATCCCTGGAAATCTTTCTTTGTCAGCCTGTCAAGCACCATCTGCGATTCTGCCTGAATCTCTTCTATCGTCTCAAATCTCCTTCCCTTTAGCTGAATTTTCATCTTTGGGAAGAGGAAGAAGTCACACGGAGCTTAGAAAGGAAGTTGGGGTCGGTTCTTGCAAGATCTTTGAGCTCCTGACAAACGAGAAGTCGATTCTGCTTCTGGTCCTCAGACAGGAGCCTTGGTTTCGCATGTGGAGTTCTTCCTTTAGAATCAGCTGACAGGTCCCATAGCCTATCCCAGCAATGTCGCACAAGTCGTTGATGGTACGACGTCGATCTTCGTGAATGGCCTGCCGAATCTTCGTAACATTTTCGGGCGTTGTGCTCGAAGATGGTCGTCCAGAACGCTCGTCATCATCGCCAGAGGTTGGGCCATTTTTAAAACGTGAATGCCCCACAAAAGTTTGTGCACGACCCATTGCGGACTCCCCAAATGCTTGCTTTGGCATTTCATAGGTTTCCGTAGCCGTTTTGGCGAGTCTTTGTCAAAATTTGATTTGTTCATGAAAATCCGCCATTCCGAAATCGCAGGAGGGTCGGTGTAATGCACTACCAAAACGCCCGTAACTAAGAAACAAATGCTAATTCGATGATGCCGGCTGGCACACTGATTCACTATGAATGTAGCGGCAGAAGCTCGTACTACATCCGGTTCGCACTCTATTGACACAGTTTGGAAACTTTCTGATCACACCTCGTAGAAATACTATTTGCTTGTTGTCTTTCTGTTTTTAAAGTGAATATTTGGTCGTATCATTTGACTTCATGCTGACTTATGTATGTTTACAACTCTGTATGGTTAATTTTTAAGTAAACTGTAAATAGGCACCTTCTGTTTACCTTTCTTAACAGTATAGGCGCCAACAATACTGCATTGACAAATATTAGGTTTGTTTTTGTTTTGTTTTGATATTTTGTATTCGCTCATGACTTGCTGTCATCTTGATACAGCTCATCTCAACTGCTGAAGTTATGTAATATGGAATGACATATGGTATAATAGTTTCAGATTAAAATGGGATGGAGTATGGTAGAAAGAGTAGTAATTTTAAATTCCCAGCATTCACATTGAGGAATAAAGTTCACTTGAAACTTTGGTCAGGATAAGTAGAGGCCATGTCATAGCTCAGGCATTTAGTTGCTGGATTCTTACCACAGAGGCCCAGGTTTTTACCCAGGGCAGTCTGGGAAGGTCACCAGTATGGCGGTATGGAAACGTACATTAAACGTTTAGTTTTTCTTCAGTGTTTTATCATATAATTAGCTCTTAAAAGGCACAGTCCTGTTTAAACAATTCAAATACTGTATCAGATCTGTGTTGGGGTTTCCCTGGTCCATCATCCCTGGTTTCATTACTTTTGATGTATGGTTTAATTTGTTTTATACATCAGTTAGAATATGTTGTTCTTTTGGCAGGACTACATGGATGATGTTCATGGCAAGGAGATTTCATTGCAGTACGTGACTGTGAAGGTACCTGGACAAAAACCTCGTGGTTCTAAATCTATTATGGGTGGTGCAACAGCTGGTAACAATGGTATCAATGATGGCCTTGCAAGCCTCACTATCACCAGTAAGTATTCGGAATTCTAACACTATGACAATGGTTTATTGCATCAAGAGAGACGGTTATAAGGTAATAATGCTGAAAAATCTTCAGGTTAAACTTACGTTATCCATCGCAGTACTAACAATTATTAGTATATTCCTGTGAGCTGGCAGTAGCATGTAAGAGCCTATTACTATTTGTTTGTCAAATGTAATAATTAAATGTGTTAAGTCTATTTCGGTACCGTATCTGTACAAAATTGACACTCTGGTTCATAATCTTTGACTTTTAGTAAGATAGTAAAATCACAGAGATAAAACAACCACGTGAAATACTTTACTTTCACACAAAAATTATATTAAGTTGTGAAAGCCATAAGAGAAAACAGACTTTATAATATTAAACCTAAGCAAATTTGTAGTGGAAAATAAGATAGCAGAGATTATGTGAAGGTTTCAGGGATATAGCGTCTGATATTCAAAATTGTTAACAAAATATTCAAATAAGACTATGAATGGAAAAGAATGCTGTGACGTTAATAAAATCTTTTCAGGTTATCAGTCATATCAGATGGTCAAAACTTGCTAATATTTTTAGCACCATCTCTGTCCCCATCGTCAGGGCATCTGGTGTGGCTGTGGAAGCCGGCCATCTATATGTATACTTGCTTCAGGCCCATATTTGGATCTGACTGTGATCCAATAATGAATCAGTGGGCAGTGTCATATCTTTGATTTGCTTGGCCTCTGGATTGGTGGTTTTCTGTATTGCTTCAGGAAGTTCATCACTGGACACCAAGAGCAACTGAGAATGAAACCGTCATCCCTGTTACAGTTTCTGGGGTGATTCCTTATCTTGGTGGCCTCCTTTATCATTCAATCCATGTATCATGTTGCCTTGTCAAGGATGGAGATGTGGTTGAAATCGATGTTGTGCCCAGTTTCAAATCTGTGCTCCTCCACAGTGGACTTTTCTGGCTTGCCGAGATGGAAATATCTCATACGTTCCTTGCATCTGACCTCGGTTCTGCTAATATGTTCTACAGATGCCCTGGGGTTGAGAACAGAGGTGGTACTGTATAGCATAAAAAGTGTTTGTGTGTCTTCTCTGTTCAGCACTGAATTGTACAAATCCACAAACATTCATGCAGAATTATACTACAAAACATGTATATATTCTGAATTAATTTTGTGAAATTTATTCTAGAATTTGGTCCTTATTTTTATTATTCTGTTTTTGATTTATTGAACTGCCTACTTCTTGCTAGTCTTAGCTTATAATTTCTAAACATCCATTGGCTATTGTTTGCTTCAAAACTGTCAAGTCATGACAGTGCCTGAATATGCATTTTAAAATTAATTTTGAGAAAAAGTCTGTTATACCCATGAAAATACAATTAATGAAAGAATGAATAACAGAGATGATTGACCCCGACAGAGAAATAGTCTTCAGGCCCAAGGCAAACAGGTGACGTACAATGCAATGGAATTGTTTTACAGTCCTTTAAAAGTATGGAAAATACAGCTTCTATAATGAACTTCAATTATTAATGGGTTTAATGAATCAAATTTTACATTCGTGTTTGTTAATAGGTTTTTATTTAAGGATTCAGTACATTACAAGATCTTACACTGCTGTTCATTTTGCAGGTTTCCAAGGCAAGGAGAAACGGGTCACAGACAAAGTCCTGCTCACTGCATTTGAACTGCTCAAAGAACCTGGTACTCGAGTTATTCAGGCTCCGAGGTGAATATTGCACAATATACACAGTATTTGTTTCACAAAAAGCTTTGGTCCTTCTTGTCCATTAGAAGTGTGTAGAGTGAGTAATTATTGTGTTACGTAAAAGAGCTGTATTGTTTTATAAAGCAGTGTTCTAGTTGAAGATAGTTGTCTTCTGGGTTTTTGGGCCATGTGGTCTGGTAGAAGTTTACTGATGTTTCAGAGGTCGTTGCTGCCCCCATCATCAGGGCAATGATCACCCTGATGATAGAGGTAATGATACATTTCTGAAATGTCAGTAAACTTCTACCAGACTACACGGCACAACAACCCAGAAGGCAGCCATCTTCAGGCTCACTGCTGTGAAAACTTCAAATGCTACTTGATGTTGTAGTTCTTAAATAAGATGTATCAAAATTACAGGTTTAATCGAGTAGAACTAAGGGTCCTACATTATATAAAAATGAGTGTTGTCCCTTATGTCTTTTGATAAACAGAAGATTGAAGAAGCACAAATAAGATGAAGATTTCTGTCTTCTGAGTTGTTGCGCTGTGTAGTCTGGTCGACGTTAACCAACGTTTCAGAGATCATACTGCCTCCATTGCCCTGATGACGGAGGCAGTATGACCTCTGAAACGTTGGTAAACATCGACCAGGCTACACAGCGCAACAACCCAGAAAACAGAAATCTTCATACTAACTGCTGTGAAAACCTCAAATCTTACACAAATAAGATGTTTGCATGGATGGAAAGAAATATTTTTGAGAAACATACAGCAAAGTGATGATCTTAGGAATTTAACTGAGGTTAATAAAATTACCAGTGATATTAAGTAATCCCTCAAAAAGTGGATAAATCGTGTTCACCCAATGCCAGACTATAGATTTCCAAGAAAAATTATTAACAACAGACCTTGAGGAAAGCAGAATTTAGGAATACCATGTATGAGATGGTTTGACCAGTTTGTGTAATCGTAGAACAGGTGAGGAATGAAAAAGGAAGAAGAGTTTCCTTTAAGTTGTCTGCCGCTTGGCCTGGAGTATCCATGTATGTGGTAGGATTATAGCAGGCATCAAGTAGCAAAAGTACAGATTTAATAAGAACATGGTCATGGTGAAGCATTGTGGACATTACAGCTGCCCATGGTCAGAGTTTGATGTTTAACTCTAATGGTTTAAATTACCATTTGATTATGTACACAGTTAATCGTCTTGTGGTCCATTGATATAATGAACTATTTGTTGATGTGTTATGTTGCAGAGATGGTTTTATTAACTGTCTGCTAACTGCATTTAGTTGAAGCTAAACATATAAGACCAGTTTGTTGGCAAATGCTCGTATTTAGTATATATATTTAACCTTTAAGAGCACAAAGATTCTCCCCTACTTCAACAGTCACTAACTTTTCATTTTTTACGCATGGGTTTCATGTGATTCAGTGTAAACAGTGATAATTTCCTCAAACAGCATTAACAAGTTGATCATTGTAGTAGTGTTTTCTTTGAGGTATAGACTTAATTTTTAAATATGATTCTAGATGCGCTTCAGTTTCATACGGTTAAGGGGGTATGTGTATGGTTCCATATGATTATAATTAAATTTAATTTTTTGTTCTCTTTACAATATTTTGCTTGAATTTGGTGTACCTAATAAGCTAGTCAGGAGACTAATTAAAACGTGTTGAATTGAAACCTCTAGCAAAATTCTTGAAGATAAACATTTGTCTGGTATATTTCCTATTCAGTATGGCCTGAAACAGGGAGATCTTGTATGGCCGTTGGTTTTAAATTTTGTCTTAGAATATGCCATCAGGAAAGTCCAACAATGGAATTCAATATTACATATCAGCTTTTGGTCTTTGCTGATGATATTAATCTGTTGGACGATAATGTACATACTATGAATGCGAACACATAAACACGCTTAAGGTCTAGTAGGGATGTTGGTCTAGAAGTAAATGCAGAAAAGACAAAGTAATATGACCATGTCTCGGCATCAGAATTCAGGACAGAAGCAGAACATAAGGATAGCTAATGAATTGTTTGAAAATGTGACAAAATTTAAGTACTTGGGGATGACAGTAATAAGTCAGAATGGCATTCATGACGATTTCAGGAGCAAATTAAATTCAGGGAATGTTTGCTATTGTTCACTTCAAAATCTTTTATCGTCTTGTCTCATATCAAAAAATCTAAAGATTAAAATATACAAAAGTGTAATTTTGCCAGTTGTGCCGCATGGGTGTGAAACTTGGTCTCTCACTTTGAGGGTTGAACATAGATTGAATGTCTGAGAACAGAGTGTTGAGGAGGAGGAGATTTGGACCTGAAAGGGGGGAAGACAGATCATGGAGAAAATTGCATAATGATGAGCTTCACAGCCTGTACCCCTCACCTGATATTGTTAGGGTGATTAAATCGAGGAGGATGAAGTGGGTGGGACATGCAGCATGTTTAGGGATGAGAGGGGTGCTTACAAGTTTGGGAGGCCTGAAAGGAGGAGACAACTGACAAGACCTAGGCATAGATGGGGGATAACCTTAAGATTGATCTTGGAGAGATATGAATTGATGGAGTGAACTGGATGCAGCTGGCTCAGGATAGAGTCCAATGGCAGGCTTTTGTAAACATGGTGATGAACCTTCAGGTTCCATAAAGAAATGATGGGCTATTCTTTGACAAGCTGAGTATACAATTGACTTTTTGAAGAATTTCATGCACCATAGGGTGAGTGATAATTATATGAGAAGTTAATGTTGAAAGTTTGTTTAGTCTTTTGTTGATAGAAACCCACTTTTTAGGTTATGTGCAGTCAAAAAGTGCAGCATCATGAATGTCAAGTCAGCAACAGAGAGAATAAATTAAAAATGTTTTTAACAGTGTACGTTTATTTTACAAAGCTGCTCAATCTGAGATTTGATGTTTTCATCATTATAAAGGTTACCATTTATGGTTGTTTGGTTTATGACGTATCTCACTTGATCCTAAAGGTGGAAGTGATAAATTCCCCTAAAATGTTGGTAATCACTACACCCTGAAGATTGAGGTTATACATCTCTCTGAAACATTTGTAACTGCCTACAAGACTACACAGTGTAACAACCCAGATGACCACAGTCAAGAGCTGTACAATGTTAATTTAATGCAGGAACAAGAATAAGGATTTTAATATATGATGCTTTCTTACAATGTATGACAATTCAACTTATGAAGTTTTGAACATCACAAGCACCTACAGTGACTAATGTTTAGTTGAAATACATATGTTTCTGAGTATTGATTGTTGAATGTAAATATTTAATTGGGCAATTTACATGCTTACTGAGAAGGATAGAACATGTATGGATGGAGTGTGTACTTTGCTTGTGATTGTACATCACAAACAGCATGACTCAGACAGAACATAACAGCCTTTACTGCCACGCACTTTGCTTTCACAGTGACAGGTCACTCATCTTAACACTCATGTTCCTGTTAAGGAAATCCTGAGGAAATTTACAGAGAGTAGACAAAGAAGAATAATGTTGGCCATTGACGGCTGTTTACAGACTTCCACGTTGTGTGCATATACAGGTAAGTCAAAATTAGCTGCACACCTTTGGAGAACTGTAACTGTGTTACCTACAGCCAAAATGTGCTGATATTAGCAGATATCTGTAGAGCGTAATCTCAAGTTTCGTTTGTTTGTTATAGTTCTTCACATTACCGCTGAGAGCGCTTGTGAATTATGGAAAACAAAATGGAGACTTGTAGTGGCAAGGAAAGAGCACAGTGTGTGTTCTGGTTTGAACAAATGAAGAATGCAACTCAATTTCAGCAAGATGGTGCACCTCCTCACTTCCATACAGATGTCAGAGTATGTTTGGATCTCCACTTTCCAGGTCCGTGGATTAGGCGAGCAGGTCCAATCGCTTGGCCACCTCGTTCACCGGATCGCACACCAGCAGATTTTTTCCTGTGAGGATACATTAAGGATCGTGTTTACCACCCACCCTTACCCAGTGATCTTAAAGAATTATGGAAGAGGATTCGTTTGTTTAAACTAGAACACACATTGTGCTCTTTCCTCGCCCTATAAGTCTCCATTTTGTTTTCCACAATTCACAAGCGCTCTCAGCGGTAATGTGAAGAACTACAACAAACCAACGAAACTTGAGATTACGCTCTACAGATATCTGCTGATATCAGCACATTTTGGCTGCAGGTAACACAGTTACAGTTCTCTAAAGGTGTGCAGCTACTTTTGACTTACCCTGTATATTGTTCTACATGACGAAGTGCCTGTAAAGGTTGAGTCATGGTAGCATAGCAACACAAATGGCTATGGACTGATCAAAGAATGGTTGTTCCCCACCCAAAACTTTTCCTTTTACTCCAACTGGTATGTCATGACACGTACTCTGTTATCAACAATATAAACTCAGTTGGTAGTAAAGTAAATCATACCTTAGCTCAAAATGATGAGATATAAACACTTTACAGTTTGATGAAGGCACTGGTTTAGTTTTACCTAAGTTGTATCCTCTTTGTAACTTCTTAGCTGTAAAATTTTTCACAGCATGCCTTGCATATTGCTAACTTTAATTGTGAACAAACTATTTAAAATTAGGAAACTCTCGTTTTTATTTCTAGCTGTGAAACTTTGTTAGAGTGCTGTGTTATGATTAAAACAATCGGTTATGTTGTTATTCTTCAGTCTTGTGTTCTCATAAAGTTTTGAATAAGCTGAAAGTGGAAGCTTAATTTTGTAGAATTTGTATATCCATGAATTTGTCTTTGTACAGTCTGTGTTAAGGCATCCTACTGATATTTATCATATCAACTGAAACTGCGGACCTCCATGCTGCAACCAAATATTCAAATGCTTTCCAACAAAAAACAGACACAACAAAGTCATTAAAAGATTAGTTAACTTTAAAATTAACAAATAGTTTTCATTTTTTGAAATTATTAAGTACATAGTAGTTAGATTTTTACAAAATAATGTACATTTTTAAGTATATCTAATTGAAGTTTCTTGAATGCGGCCTTATTTGATTACAGCTAGATTAATGCGGACTTCCAACATGAAAAGGTTCCCCACCCCTGGTATAAACTTTGGGTTTCATATCATGCATTCTCAGTATATAGCGAGATTTTACGTAGCACAGTATCCTAGAAGGCCGTGCAATCTCGTGTTAAGATTTGATATCGAATAGCTTGATGCATTCCATTTATCTTATCATATCATTGAGTATTTAGGCTTTCACATTTACCACCGTGACCTGCGGAAGGGATCCGTGAATCTTATATTAAAAGTCTACGTACTTCTGCTTCTTGTATGAAAATTTAATAAAGATTTTAGTATTTGTCTCAGTGAATAATTAAATCTTGGATACATAATTATGATGAACTTGTGCAAATTATATGTCGTCTGTCACCTTGTTATTATTTACGTAATTCACTGGGTCGTATTTATGTTTCAGCAGTGAGGATGCAATGATCATCTCAAACAACACCATTTCGACATCACTGTTGAATGGGACAGATGGGAAGATAGACACACCTAATGTTAAGAAGAGACACAGACGCATGAAGAGTAGTGGTATGAAGAACACGGAGTGTGATGGTAAATCACAATTTATTCCCTTATTTCATGCTTCTTAAAACCAGTTTTAAGTATTTATTTGTGAACAACACAAAAGTATATGGCAGATAACTAACCATTACAACATTGATTGTAATCTTCTCTATTTTGATGAGATATAAGTATGGAGAACACAAGGAATAAAAATATATTGCAGTCTTGAAAAGAGTCCATATATCTGCAGTAGGAACATTAATGATCAAACCATAAGAGCATTTTACATAAAGTACTGTAAAATCCTGATGTTATAAAGCAGTCTAAAAAGCAGCATTGCAATAAACTTAATAGCAAGATTCTGATAATCAAATAAAAACAACATTACACATAATGTAAAGCGAGAGAGGAAAGATAAATTAAATTTACCAGGTGTCATCTCTTACTAACGATGAAGAAGTAAAGGTCCAGAAACAATTGCTAATACCCTCAATGTTTTTTTTTCCAACTAAGTGATTAAATTCACATCAGCTGGAGAAGGAGGATGCTTGTATTTCATTTTTAATAGATAAATTTTCTGTAAAATTTCCTGTAACAGTCTACCATGTCATCTCACATGTCTTATAAATAAAAATGCACAATTTAATGTAACATTAAAAAGAACTTAATTACAATCTCCTTTTACTCTGTTTCTGAATTTCTGACATTTATAAGTTTACAAATAACTCATAATGTTCATAAAGGTTTTCTTGTCTTTGTATACTATAAAAGGGTAGTATAATTTTGTTATTGATTTGTAATGGGTTGATTTATTTGTAGCATTTCACTACTTCAGATGAACCCTCTGCAGATTTTATGTGAAATCTTTATAATTGAATTGTACTTGTATATGTGTTTTGTATTTCCGGTCAGGAAAGCTAACAATGGCTGGGGGTTCGTCGTGCTGACCACACGTCACCCTATATCTGGTTGGATGATCGTTCACCTCTGCTTAGGCATGTAAACGTGAGGCCAGCAGCCAGCTAGTTGGCTTTGGCTCTCTGTTACCCCACGGATTTTAATGTGTTTTGTATTATCATGTCTTGTTCCACATTCTGTCATCATCTTTCTAACATATGGATTCATAATAATATGTATATATTCTATGGTTACAGACTCTGATGGCTACGAGTTCTTCATCGTGTCTCTTGACAACAAACAATGGCACTTTGAAGCTAGCAATTCAGAAGAACGGGATGAGTGGGTCACGGCTATCGAACAACAAATACTCAACTCTTTGCAGGTATGATCACCTGAATTGGGAAGGTACATGACAGGAGAGGTCATTCTCTCTCTCTCTCTCTCTCTCTCTCTCCCCTCCAAAAAAGTAGAAGGGCTTCATTTGTCATACATATGTGGAAAACAGGCACTTTTCTTGTGTGTGAAAGTATACTGAGTATTACTTTTGTCCATTTTCAAGTTATTTTATTGTTTTTCTGTTCATGTTGGTGGCCAAGATTGAAGTTGTACATGTTGTCAAATTTTGGAGGGTTTGGCCATATGTAAATACAGATTTATAATAGTCCATAGAAATTACAGTCTGATAGAATTGTCACGTGTTGAGATAGCAAAATTATGATTTTTTCTGTACTGTATTCTGATATACGTAGGGCAGTCAAAAAGTTCCCGGAATTGTGGTATAGCACTGTAATGGTAGAACATATGGCAACGCTTACCTAATCACTTTCAAAGTAGGACCCTTGCGCGCAACACCAAGAACATTTAAGCATTTGCTGCACTCACATTTTGCAGCTTTTTCGTCAGCTACGAATGTAACTTAGTTTACGGCCATCGCATTCAACACATCGCTGGTTGTGCAGCAATTCCTCGCCGAGAAAAGCATTCCCGTCATCACCCAACCACCATACTCGCCGGATCTCACTACGAGTGACTTCTGGCTGTTCCCTACTCTGAAAGTGGGCCTCAAGAGGACGCATTTCACAACCATGGAGGACATCAAATCGAATGCGACGGCCGAACTCCGGAAGATTCCAAACGAAACCTTCCGCCGGTGCTTCCAACAATGGCAGGATCGATGGAGCAAGTGTGTGTGTGTGCGCGCAAGGGTCCTACTTTGAAGGTGATTAGGTAAGCGTTGCCACATGTCCTACCATTACAGTGCTATACCACAATTCCGGGAACTTTTTGACTGCCCCTCGTATGTGAACTGCTTTTTAAAGCCCCTCATTTGTAATGAATTGATACATGTTCTAATTAATAGCATATTTCTAAATAAATATAACCTTAATTCTCTGCAATATTATTTGAAAATAATAGAAATATGTGTTATTAACTGTTACTTGGATTGGTTCCTCTTATCTGATTTCAAGAATTTTTTTGTACTTGGTTGTCAGAAATTGGCAGACAGAATGTGAGGGTTGTTGTCTCTTTTGCAGGGTAATGAGAGCAGTAAGGCTAAGTCAAGACTCAATAGCTCTGTAGATACAGGCTCAATACAGGCTATCCGTTCACGGGTGCCTGGCAACATACACTGCGCTGACTGTGATGCATCAAGTATGTAGTTATTAGTTACATGTTTACATTTCATAATTAATTGACTTATGGCTTGAAACATGACAGGAGATTTTGAGTAAGTGTTCATGGACTAACTGACGAGTCTCTGCAGGGAAGTAACTGCAATAACTGCAGTTTGAGTGCCAATTGATAATGTGAAAATGTTGGTGCATTTTTGTTGAATGAATGGCACATCACTGCAACTGGCATCACATCCAGCAATACAAGTGTTGCTCTTGGTGACTCTTGATTGTTGAGGGTAGGCTAGGAAGGTAACGTTATTCAGTACAGGTTCATAAACAGTAGGGAAATAATCATGGGGTGACACAGAATCTCCGTACCACAAAAAGAAGAATACTTTATGCTCCAGTATGTACTGAAAACAGTCTCTTCCCATCGCTGTATTTATAGTAGCAAATATAGCACTGTGAAGCATGCTATTGGAGAGTAACCTGTAAGATATAGCCTTTAGTGCTTTTAACAAAAATTTCAGTGTGCTTTCTTTGTCATTTTTCTTATATCTATTTATGCAGCAGTGTTTAATTTTTGCTATGTGGATTAATTAATTTTGTTACAGATCCTGACTGGGCAAGCCTTAATTTGGGTGTGCTGATGTGTATTGAGTGTTCAGGTATTCATCGCAACCTGGGGTCTCACATATCTAGGGTTCGATCTCTTGATCTGGATGAATGGCCGTAAGTTATCATATTTAATAAATCTGTGTGTAAGATTTTGTGGCTAGTCTTGATTGAATATGATGCATCTGTTAGGTGCATGCAGTGTAGGTCTGTGTACAATACCTGAAAAATTACTGAACTGGTTCTATGAAAAATGTATATAGTCGATAACCTTCTGTGAGAATGGTCACCTTCAAAGTGCAGTTGACTTTTCCTTATCTGACTCTTAACCAGTTCAAATCGTATGGACTAGTGATTGTTACTCCTTATTTTTGACTTCACACATAACAGGATGCAACATAAGAAAAATTTCTTGGTTCCACTTATGCTGGTTAAACAAGAATCAAGTGTACTCACCTTCTGACTTTATCTTCAGATCCCAACATACCTTCCATGTCTGAAAATGTTAGAAGTCATTTTATTGGAGTGCTTACAAAATGGGTTATATCTCCAATTTTGATACATGTGGTTGCTTGGTCTTGGAAACTCTGAACTTCTGCATTGAAGACCCAGATCTCATCAACAGCCGCATCCCCCCCACCTCAAAAATGTTTGATTCTCCAACAGTCTGGCCAAAAGGTCTCAGCAAATATCTGTCTTCCCTGGTGTTACGTAGGAGTTAGGACTGTGAATCTTATTGCCTGCACCACTGCATTGCTTCTGATAGAAGTTAAATGAGTAATAATCTTACTGAATCTTGAAAGTCCTACCCAATTAGGTGTAGAGAAGGAAATGGCTCTAGAGTTTTATTCACGTGCACTCAAATAAAAGACGAATACGTGTTTTTCAGTTTTTACGTAATCACAAATAATAACATGATAGTGATACAGTAAATTGGCTTGACTTTTACTCTGGTGATTGCTTGATTGTGTGCACTTCCACATGAAAGTTTCTGGTTACTTTCTTTAATATAGCATATTTTTACAACCTCCTCATACTTATTATTCTCATGGCTTAATGAGTCAACATTACCATTTACTTTTTTATAAAAAAAATGACATCTGTCATTATCTACTGTAAGATGTCCACGGCTGGTGATCTCCAACAGGGTGTTCGTGTAGGTAATGGTTTTGGTTTACCAAGACTGCTATGTAATATAAATGACATAATGACATACATCATCGTGCACTGAGCTTCAAGATCACTGCGTTTTTATAGACAAAATTGCTGATAGCTTCCATTTGCTGAATGATAACTTTGATGTAACTCTGAACTTATATAATCTTTCTTATACATCTGTGCTATAGCACTTGTTATTGTTTGCTTGTGGTTGAGATTGATTGTTGGCTACCATTTTTTATTTTTACATTTAAAGACAAATTTAGTCTTACGATGTCTTGTTCATTTTCACTTCTACCAACATCTTCTGAATAGTAAATTGTTGATCATTTCTCAGCATTTCTATCACTTGATTCACATTTTGATCAGTTCTTGCATAATGTGTGGCTGCTTTTTCTCCCATCTTTAAATCACCTGACCAACACGAAATGTGTGTTCTGTTCACTGTCTCATCTTGTTAAATTTGCTGAAACATTTTCTATAGGTCACTCAAATTTTTCCCTAATTATACTGGAAATGAAATGTTGATTCTCTGTCCTAAATTTGTCATGCATTACTTGTGTTAAATGCTTTAATTTGTATAAAAAAATCAATTTATTGTAGAGACACCGAAGGAAGGACAAGTTTATGTGATCATATATAACTTGCCGTCACAGTGGCCGGGTGGTCTGAGGTGTGGGCCTTGTGTCGCTTGATCACTGTGACCATGGGTTCGAATCCCACTCAAGGCATGGATGTTTGTCCGCGTCTTTCTGTGTTGTGCTGTCCTGTGTACAGGTAGAGGCTTTTTGACGGGCTGATCACTCGTCCAAGGAGTCCTACCAACTGTCTAATAGATCAGAGCCAACGAAAAGTTGGGACATGCAGATGCTGAGGCACTGAAGAACGGGTCGTATAAAATAAAATGAAATATATATAACTGTTATCTGCCAATTTGTATTTGTCAGCTGACCTAAGTACATGCTTATCAGTGATTGAATTTTTCAAATCTTCTGTGTTATCAGTTACTACTGTAGTATGTCATTCAGTGAGTTTAAATATTTGCGTTTTTTGCAGGCCAGGACACCTAAGTGTGATGCTTTCAATAGGCAACACTCTTGCAAACAGTGTGTGGGAATGTAATCCTCATGTTCAAGCCAAACCAACGCCTAACTCAAGCCGCGAAGAAAAAGAGCGATGGATCAGATCCAAATACGAGAGCAAGGAGTTTCTAGCACAAGTGAATCAGGGAGTTCCAATTGGACAGCAGTTAGTTGACGCAGTGTGCAGGTACATTATTTTTATGATGCAGTAGCTCTCTGGCCCTTGCCCAGATTTCCGTGAGTGAACTTTTCATACGATATTTTTCCATACTTGGAATGAATCCGCTTATTACAAGAGGGGACCAAGATAACTGTAGCAATAACATTTTTATTTTCATGTGGTCAGTTCTGTAATCAGGTATCTACTCTATTGAATATAGTTGAAAACTTATCAATGACACCAATTTCAACAACACTTTCTACAGGAAGTTTGCAGAAGTGTCTGCAAGTATAGGACTGTTAAATGTAAACCTTTGTTACAGTCAGTGGTGTCCGGAGAGCTATTGTAGAACATTCACATTGAATTTGGTATACCTATTGAAGTAGTTAGGCTAATTAAAATATGTTTCTGTGAAACCTGTTGTGTAGTTGAAATCGATAAACCCTTGTCTGGTGAAATTCCAATTCAGAATGGTCTGAAACAAGGAAATCGTTGTTTCGGATGAGAACGTGATAATCCTCGGATTAAACAAAATGTCCTCAGTACTGCTTTGTTTGTCAGCATCATCCGTTGGTATGTATTACAATTAGGATCTCAAACTGAGTTATCAGTAATCTCACATACAAGTCGAGTTTCACTATATGATGCAACACTTATGTGAAACTGTCGGCAACTGGCTTGCAGCTGTGATAGTGTAGTCAACACACAACAGAAATGAGGTGAGGGAAGAACAAGATTTGTAAAGTACTGCAGGAGTATCTTACCATTATGTTGCCACAAGAAGTTACATTTAAATGTCGATTTTGAATATATGTGGCACGATGTCTCATGCTCCTCAAATATATCAGGTCATGTAATTTTATATGCAGCATGTATGACAAGAAATTTTGCATCTGTATAAAAGCTTATAAATTTGCTTCATTATCATATTGCATTGTGCATGATGGGTAATTAGAAAATATTAGGGTTTATGACCTTAAGTGGCGTGCTGTATGAATCATGTTTCATGAAAATTGGCCAGTTTGTTCCCAAAGGTACACAGTCAGTGACTCTTATATTGACTGTCCATCCAATTATGAATAAATAATTTAATTCAATTTGCTGTAGTAACTGCTGTTCCTGTCTCATGTCTTTTATATGAATTTGCATGAAATGTTATGTGGAAAACACTGTTAACTGGTGAGGGTTTAACTATGTGTCTGAACAGTTATTATTACTGAATATCTCCTTCTTCCTTTTTTTAAAAAAGGAGACATGTTATCATTGAATTCTCTTTTCATTTACAGGACAGATATGAAAAGTATTTCCCTGCTTCTAGCACATGCAACTGTGGAACAAGTCAACAGCTGTGTGAGTGCACGTGACTTACGTACACCTCTCCATTTAGCATGTGCTATGGGTAACCTTCCTATAGCTCAGCTACTTATATGGGTGAGTCGCCCAACTGCATGTTCATAGGCTGTATTAAAAACTTAAATTAACTGATGTCATTAATCACAGCAATCCAACAATCCTCTGCATTGAGTACCCTTACAAACATGTTATAGCACTGTACTAGACCACCACTTATAACAGTTGTTGATAAGTGTAATCTTTCATTTACTTTTGTTTGCTTCACTGCCTCAAGGTGTTTTTCAGTTAGTCTGTCGCCATTTGATCGTTCGAACAGTATTTGTCATCTGACTTACCACTTTTCTTAAAGTCATGTATGAAATAATATTCAAATCTTCATGTGCTTCGTATATTAACTTGGTCAATCACTTTTGAGCATAAGTATTTTTGTCTTGGCCATTTCATTGAAGTGTCTCAAAAGTCTTTCAATCCATAAATCCTCTTGTGCTGCTTCTGCTAATATAACATAATCCGCCTCTGGATTAGAATATAATCATAGTTCTCTTGCATCCATTCACAGTCAGTACTTCATTTAATTTTTGTTCCATTCATTAGTTGCTTACTTTAAGTCACATCTTCAAGAGTTTACATACATTTTAATTTCCATCTCACTAACCTGGCTCCTTCATTTACCGTCATGTAGTAGGTCACGATTTAAATGTACTGTTTGATTGTTCTCGTCTGATCAAACCTCCCTTCCCACCGCTAGTTGAGCGGGGGGAAGGGGGGTTTGATTGTTTGGAAACTGGACATAAGAGAATTTGCTTACCTTAAAGTTACAAAGTAAGAAGGATTTGAGGTTTTCATGGCTGTGAGTCTGAAGATGGCTGTCTTCTACTAGGTAAGAATTTTTTTAGTGAGGGGAAACTAAGTAAAATAGTACAATAAATGGAATAACTGTAATAATAACAGCAGCAATAATTTTACTGAAATATATAAAAGCGTTCAATTTTCCTTTCAGACGTGAACATACCTATCCTAGTAGTAATTTCTTGCCTACTTGAATAAAAAGTAAAGTTTGTACCACTATACGCCATGTAGGCGTTTGGGGTGAGTGGAGGTATAGCTCCTCTCTACCTTGACCTCGGCACTAGGTGGGGGTGAGTGGTCAGCATCACGCCCCGGCCGGCTTTACCCCCGGGAAAGGACCCCGGTACCCATTGTAGAGGAGGCTGGGTGGGCCCCAGAGCCGGTCTGGACGCAGAGGCTAGAGGAAAAATCCTCTGCCCCCGTCGGGGATCGAACCCCGGTCGTCCAGCCCGTAGCTAGTCACTATACTGACTGAGATATCCCGGCTCATGCCTACTTGAATAATGGATAATGAATTAATATCTTACTCCAAGCTAGTGTTTATTTGTTTATTTATTGTTACTAATACTATTGTAATTATTACAGCACAACGCCAACGTGAAGGCAGTTGATCATGAGGGGCGGACATGCCTTGCATATGCGAGGGCAGCCAATAGCTTGGCTCTCAGCAAATCTTCAGGGAGTGGCAACAACAGTGGGAGTGGCAGTGGTGGGTCATGTGCACAGCTGAGTGTAGCAGCTACTACCAGTCTTGTGGAACTTTTGCTAGCCAATGGCTGTCCTGAAGTGACAAGTGGCACTCTCCCTCGCAGGAGAGGTAGTGTGGGGCGTCGAGGCGGCGATAGCTCAATGCCCTCCTTTGATAAACTTCCATCCAGTGTCATCTAGGGTCTGGGGATGGGCGGTCAAACCCTGCCCAGGACAAGTTCAGGAGCCACCCAGCAAAAGGGAAAGGAATCAACGTCTACTGTTGTCTAGGGAGAGGCCTATCCCAACAACATGAAGTCCAGCTACAGGGATACCATCAAGTAACAGAAGGAATCTGCATCTGTCATTTATAAAAAATTCCACCATCAACTTAAGTTGCAGACAGAAGTGGGGAAAATAGTTATTATGTGTTGAATATTATTTTGAAAGAAAGAAAAAAGCAATGCACAGAGGTTTATTGATTTTGTTAAGCACGGAAGTAACGTTGCCCGTTGAGAGGAAGAGATTTTTCTCTTACCTCTGCACTTTCTGCTTCTTTTATCATTTTGAAACTCATATCAATTTTGGATAATATAATAAATACAGTAACGATGTCAACACAGAATAATTATTGAATATGTATTTGACTCTCATATCTTAATCTTTCCGCAGGATATATGTGGACAGAAATATGATACAGTATAAACAGAAGTTGGGTGGGTTCTTTTTGATATAGGTACTACCTTCCCAGATGTAATTAGTAGAGAACAGAGCTGTTCCTAAATAATATTTAAATTGTTTATCATGTACCCAGTGTGTAAAACATAACCTGAAATAGGCCACTTATGTTCTTTTAATATGTTTCTTATTTATGGTTTTGTCATGCATAACAATTTCAGTACATGTATAAATTACGTTGTTAAAGGGAAGATATTTTGTGGATTATATAACTAAAGTTGAAATTCATGTTTTGAACTTTATACTTCGATTTCAAACCTTAATTTAGGCATTTTGAACTTTTTTTTCTGCAATCACATGATAACTATATATCATTTTCTAACAGAAAGCCTCACTGCTGTGTGGTGTATTGTATTCTTAGAGAGAAAATTAACACCTATAACTACTAAAATAAGAATAACGTGACTTTTTGGTGGTAACTTGTTTTTGTCTGTCAGCATGTATCAGACTCGGTTTTCATGGTGTCTTAACCCTTTCTTTCATTAGGTGAGCCCAGAGAGAGAATTTTCAGTTTCATGATTTTAGTAAATGTAATTAAATTTGATCCACAACACATCATCTATTTCAGACTCAATACCGTAATCACTTTAGTCCAAATTAGTAATAGTTTTAAAAACCATTGTCTCCTATCTTTACTTTTCATTGCAGTAACTACAGCAAGAATTGATGGGTAACTTTATTTATTTACTTGTTAACTAATCCCAGATTAGTTTCACAGATTATCCAGAAGTACATATTTTAGTGTTTACATTCATTTAGGCATGATGAAGCTCAGAATAAAGGCATGATTATATTTAAAAAAAATTAGTGACGTCATGGCTCGTAAATTAAGTATGCCATAACCCAGAATAATTTGAATAAGAAATCCAGGGGGGGTGGGAGAAACTATTTTGAATGAACTGAAAGGATTCTTACAAAAAATAACCAAATTATTACTTTTGCTACTTCCCATCATCATCACTTGTCTTATAGGACGATATCATTCCACTTTTCTTATTCCTTAAACCGTGATATTTTTAATGTCTACTAGTCTGGCTGAAGTATAACAAAAAATTAAAGTTGTACCTCTAAGATATTGTAATTGTAATTAGGCTTTGAAAATAAATTAATGTTAATGTTCAATGTTTTGCACATCCTGCCACCCCCCAGGATTTAAAAAGATGTGTGCTTTTAAATCACAGGTAGTGAAACATGCAAAATTACGCACAAGTTAATTCTGATGTAAAAAAAAATTGCCAATCAGTGCAAAGCTGAGGAATGGGAAGGATAATCCCCCCCCCCCTCACACACACATGCGCACACAATAATTGTGTGTAAAAATATTTTATGTGAGATTAAATGTTTAGATATTTTTAACAGCCCTGGTCTGGAGGTAGTTCTTCATAAATTACCGACTCAACTTTTGTATTCTATTTCTTTATTTTGCCCTGATGACTTGTACATGCATGTCAACAATATGCTTGTATTGTAGATGTACATACCTTGTTTATTAATATAATTATATTTCCACCATACTTCCTTTCACATAGTATGCTACCAGAACCTTGCATAAACATATTCAAAGTGTCAGTAAGATTTATATAACCTGTATTATTTATAGTAGAATTTTGTATATGAAGAATGATTCTGTTCAGTTTGGACAGGGCTCTTTCTTCATTTAAATATAACAATACCAAGGTTCATACAACTTAATGACCAATGAAATTCTTCATTGTGAATGTATTTGTTCACCTTATGTGAATGATGGATATGACAAGGTATTATTAAATTTGCCTCCAAAGTTTATGTTACCATGAAATAATGTAGCAGAATCTTGCTGTGTTATATATATTATTACAGAAGAATAATTTAATTGATCAGCATTTCTAAGGCAAAGTTTTGGTTTAATGTTTTCTTGCTGTAATTGTAAATAGTTATGTACACTTTTCACGATATATTTAAAAAGATTTATTTAATATGGGAAGGATTCCTATTGTTGAACTCTCATCCAGTGTTTTGTAGGTCATTCATTTGATTTTCTGCCATTCTGAAAGAATTATTAAGCTAGGGAGTACATAGTAACAAAGAAACAGGACGATGTATGCACAGTTATTTGTGAACCACTGCACCAGTTTTTCCAAGTGTGTCACCTACAAAAATTAAGGAACTCCATTATTTTCATATATGTTATACCGTTCTTTTATCTCAGCCATTACATGTTATTTCATTATAGTTTGTGGCCTCAAGACATATAAATTGAAAAGAAAATCCGTGCTTTGTAAATAACTATAAAGAAAATACTGACTGCCTTCAATGTTATGTATTATATTGTTATGTCCAGTTCTTTTCTTTTGTTACTACTTCCTTCACGTCTTTCCATCTTGCACTGTTTTCTGTTTGAAAAGGAAGTTTGAAGTTTCGAAACTTGTGTACAATGAGGCGAAAGAGTTTGTAAATATTGTAATCAAGTAATTTGTACTGTACACTTTAATGCAGTAAGTAAAACTGAAAAAAATATATATATATATATACACCTGCCAATAATGGATATGTTAGAAGACATTCTTTACTTGAAAAAGCGTCATAGTATTCTCCCCTTCGATAACTTGTTTCCTCCTCTATTCCGTGGAAATTTTGTTTAGTTTGTTGCTGTTTCTTTTCCATTGTTAATGTCAAAGCTTAGACAAGGATCTGGGTACTTTTAAGTGTGCTCGTTTTTTGTTTTGTTTGTGCATTTAACATAATGTAATATGATTTGAGGTTTTGACGGCAGTGAGTGTGAATATGGCTGCCTTCTGGGTCATAGCACTACAGCTCAAAAGACAACCGTCTTCATATTTTAATATTATTAAGAGAAATATATTTGTTTTACATTTCTTACAAGAATTGGAAAATTTTTAAGAATTGTCTTTAATGTGGAAATGCATTTTCCTGATTCTTCTGCCTGTTCCCATTTAAAATGACCTTTATCATCCTAAAATACTCAAACCGCTCATTGCTTCTCAGTTTGAATGAGAAAATATTGTTTAGTGAAGTTTCTGTCATATAGATGTTTTGTCACACACAGTTTTTGTGTGAAACATGAACTGTTGTTACTTAGGATTTAGATTATAATAAGAGGAGGTGGGGGTGATAGTTCATAGTGTTCACCACTGTTGACCTCCTAGCATTTGACGCATCAAAGCCTGCTGCTGACAATGAGAAGACATGAAGAAATTTAATTTAAAAATGGTGTTTATGACTGGGCAGCGCTTTTATGACTCTAATATGTGGAATTTATTTCTGTTTCTTTAGCGACAGTTTCCTTTGAGACTTTGTGGCATTTCGATGGCTGTCGTTTGGGTGGTTGTGCTGTGTAGTCTGGTAGAAGTTTGCCGACATTTCAGAGGTCCTTGCTGCCTCCATCATCAGGGTGATGAGTGGCATTAATGCATACTGTGTGTTTGTGTAATAGGACACTGATGATTGTGAATTGTCTTTGACTCAGTTATGTGCTTTTGTGAATATTGCAACTTCTGTTTGTTGTTAAATTGTGTTATTACTCTTTACAGTCCACTGTATAAAGACAAGGTAAGTTTGACATTATTATGAGGTTTATTTTATTTTGTTATGTTGTACTATTATATATTAATAGTAATTTTTATTCTAAGAGGTATTTCAGTATTATCTTAAAAATAAATACAAAATTACCCCTATGATTAACTTAACAAGTTCTAATAATTTTGTTTTATTTTAATATTGCAGTTAGACTTTCATCCATAATGGTCTTTTATGTAAAATATTTGTAAGAAGGAAAAAAGAAATTAAAATGAAGGAAGTGATAATGAGCATCAGCTTTGGCATTCTCAACCATGTTGCTGATATCAACAGGGAACACAAGAAGTTTAGAAGTTTTTGTGCAGTCCTATTAGCTTTCAGTATGACAGGAACAGTCATGATGAAGCCAATAATAACATGAAAGAATAAATATCCTAGATTTGTAGAAGTAACAAATATTTCTGTTGAAAATTAAGTACAATATGTTGTGAACAGGTGGACATGGATCATGATCTTCAAGTAGTACAGTATTGACAGATGAAGAAATTGGCTAATGTATAATTCATCAATCCAAAGACGAAGGTGAATGAAATCCAATTATCGAAGTTCCAAAGATATTAGCATTCTAAGAAGACCAACCGAATGTGTTAATAAGACTTGTGAAGTACTGAAAATGTTCTTGGTAGGTTATGTGCTAATATTGTATTTCCACGATTTTAAGATGCCATAAATTGTAAGATGTATCCTTGGTTTAGTAGTGAGATTTCAGGAAATATGTGTATATTACAATAAGAATGATCAGTATTTAAACTTCTGTTTATGAATACGGAATCATCATTCTTGCTGTATTTGTGTTTATTGTTCTATGGCTGGTGTTGACATGAAGATTATTCTTGCACTTTAGTCATACAATATTATAATTGTTCAATATCGATTCTTAGATATACACCAATAAACCAAAAGGAACGAGGTATATAGGAAGACCAAGTTGTCGATGGAATAATCAATTTTAATATTCTGAACTTGGACCGGGATTGATAACACCCAATCCATCTTAGACGCCATCAAACTTAAGATGCACCCCGACATGAGAAATTTAAAATGTGGAA